TGTATTTTATGTGACACTGTTTGGACTGTGTAGTGTGGGAGTATTGTTAAGTATTGTAACATATATATATATCTCATATACATAAAATTATATAAACATAGGTCTTGAAAAAGTATTTATATCCTTTGGCTGGCTGTCCTATGTTGGATTGATGTATAAATTTTATTACCAGTGGCTGGAACACAAGTAAGGGAAAGTCAGATATTAGAGTTTAAAAGCATAAAATCATAAAGAGTTTTAATCTAGAAGTTTCTAATATTATAAGATGGCTATTAGCTTTGTGTTTTCAAAGATCTATACATTTGGGAAATATAAATAACTTTAATATAATATGAAGCCAGCAATAATGAATGTTACAAACCAGGTTAGAATTCAGCTTCATCTTGTTGTTTTCATTAACCTGTTTAGGTGTCTCCAGTAGTTATGCAGAAAAGCTCATGTTTAATGTTAATGCAAGGCATGCGAGTTAGAACCTTCAGCTGAAAGTATTAGACTACAGAGAAGAGCTTAGACCTGAGAAAGAGTGACTAATGAGAGTCAGGGGCATAGCGCCCTAATCGTTGAGAAATTAGGAGCTTTTTGTAGGATTAGTTTGGACTCAATCAAACCAACAAGAGCAAAGCTTAAAAGGACCACATATTTATTTTTATAAACTGTATCCTCCACAAACCTTTTTTCTACCTACTTGGATGTTCTAGTTTTGCCACTATTTCTCTTTTTTCCCCCTTGTGTTAGAGCAAGAACTGCATCATACAAAATCCTATTACATCAAAAATATATCTCCATACTTATAGCTGTCTTTATAATCTCTTCTTGAATAAAATAAAGTACTATATTTCTGTAATATTCCTAGCAGCTGCCTCTTGGACTTCAAAGTGCCCTTTTCTTTTCCCTTTTTGCTGTGTTCTCGGTTGTTACAGTGTAAATTTCACTATCTGTCAACAACTCTCAAATTAGCCTTGTACCCCTGTCTTTATTGAAGCAGCAGAAGAACAAATTAACCCTGTAATATTAGTCTAAGAATTTAATTTTTATAGGTCTAAGAATTTAAATCATTTCTTGTGATTTAATATTAAATTAAAGCTATAAAGAAAGATAAACTCAAGGCTTTTATAGGTAAGTAGATGCAACTAGAGAACATACTCATAAGTGAAATAAATCAGACCCACATGTATAAACATCACATTGTCTCCCTAGTGTAAAAATCTGAAAGAGTAAATAAAATCTGAAAGATACAATAGCTATTGTGAAAGGGAAAGAAACTTCTCAAAAGGAAAGAACAACTGGGATAAGAAAAAGAAGAAAAGAAAGAAACAAGGAAGGGAAATACACACACACACACACACACACACACACACACACATACCACAACACACACACACACACACACACACACACACACAGGATAGCTAAGATAATTGTACTGCTGGTTTCTATTGGTTTATTGAAAATAACAGTTAATGCTTTCTTTTTTTGACCAACTTTGTATGCTTATATCTGGTAATCTGAACAACTATTTGATGACAACAATATGCAATATAACAACCATTGTTGAATTCATATAATGTTGTTTTTTGAAATTCTGTGTCATTTCTAATTTTTATTATTTTTTTACTCTCTTTAAAATAAAAATTAAAAAAATAGCAAGAGACCACAAAAAGTCAATCCCCTATAGACCAAAAGATCAATAGAACAGACTACAACATGCAGAAACACTCTAGACATACTCAGTCACTTTATCTTTGACAGTGGAGCAAATACTTTCACTGGAAGAAAGATATCTTCTTTAAGAAGTAGTGCTAAAAAATTGGCTCTCTACATGCTGAAGATTAAAGCTATACTGTACACTAAACTAAAATAGAAATGGATCAAAGATCTAAATATTAATACAGAAACACTAAATCTGCTGGAAAATAGAATAGGTAGAACTCTTAAAGACATTCATGTAGGCAAAGACTTTATGAACAAAATCCTAAATACACAGAAAATATCAAAAAGAATCAACAACTGGGAATTCATCTTATTGAAAAGCTTTTCACAGAAAAAGAAATCACTAACAAGGTGAAGACATAGCTGCAGTGTGGGCAAATTTTTTTGCCTCTAGCCAGAGGACTAATATCTAGAAAATATAAAGAACTAAAAAAAAAATCAGACCCCCAAATTTAAAGACCCAGTTCACATATGGGCTTCTGGAATGGATAGACACTTCTCAGATGAAGACATGCAAATGCAAAATAAATACAGGAAAAAATGTTCAACATCACAGGTCATTTGAGAGATGCAAATTGAAACAACACTGAGATTCCATCTCTCTCCAGAAAAAAGTAGCTTTCATCAAGATATTAACTAATAACAAATACTGACAGTGCTGTGGAGAAAAGGTACCCTTCTCCACTGTTGGTGGGAGTGTAGACTGGTGCAACCACTGTAGAAATCAGTGTGGAGATTCCTCAAAAAAACCCTGGGATTAGAGGTTCCATTTGGCCCAGCACTTCCTTTCTTGGTATATTCCTGAATGAATGAAAAGCATCATACCACAAAGGTATATATCCTCTCATGCTTATAACAGCACAGTTTATAATGGCTAAGTCTTGGAAACAACCCAAATGAATGGATAAAGATGTGGTTTTCTTCCCAGTGGAGTACTACTCTGCCATAAAGAATGGTAACCTTGAGAGATTTTTAGCTAAATGGATACACTTTGAGTCCATAATCTTAAGTGAGATAAATCTTACATAGATGGTCAAATAGCACGTGATATCTCTGGTGGGAGAAACAGAAATTATAAATAAGGACCAAAATGTATAATATTATTGGGAAATGGGAAGAAAATATTCAAATAAGATGTGAAACAAGGGAGGAGGGAGGGTGAAATTAAAGAAGGGACAATGCAAAAAGAGAATAGAAGAAAAAATCGAAATAAATCTTTTGTAAATAGGGAGGGGAAGAAGAGTTGAAGAGAGGTGAAAGAAATGGGGAAAAAAGAAGAATTAAGATATATCATATATAGGTACAAATTCCCTATGATGAATGTGATCTTTATATGTATCTAGATGCACCAACAAAATAAAAATAAAGAATGGGAGGGAGGGAGAATCCCAGAACAGCTGTTGTTAGAGTTTGGAGGTATGAAAATCCCTGGCAGATGTGAGAAATGCTGATATAACAGAAGTTCTGAAAAGAGCCAGTTCTTAATTTTTTTAGAAGCAGTGCTGAGACCAAAGTCCTAGAGACCAAAGGGAATGATGGAAGGTCTTGGAGTGGAGGCAGGTAATGCTGCAGCCTGTGGTCTGAGACACGAGAGTAGAATTCTGCAGACCACTGCTGCCAGCCCTGCACCAAGCCATCCACTATGTGCATCAGGCCCAGTGAGAGTAGTGATGGGTGTCCCAATTTAGAGCTCTCTTCCCATCAGTGCCATCTGAAAGATGACATCACCTCATGAGCTGGGGCACCCTGACATGTCTCCAAGCTGCAGTCCATGCTGCTACACAATGGAGTTCATGGGGATAGAATGAGTGCATGATAAACAGGGTAGGAGCTGCAGAGAGGTAGTGAATGCCCCTACCGACTACTGGTGAATTGAAGACTCATGGATAATGTGGTTATATGGGTGAATTCCTTTAATCCCATTGAGGAACACTGTGTAGCAGATTTTTTGAAAGACATAGGTCAGTTAAAATCTCTGAGTCACAGAAACCTGCTAAATTCTGACTCAAGTTTGGTAGCAACTAAACTTTCATTTTTATTTATTTTATGTGGTATCTTATTACAGGGCATTCTGTAATTCCTAGATGAAAACCAAACCATATAAAACTGGGTGGAAGAACAGTCAAGTCTCCTATCCTGCCTTGCTTCATTTCTAGGACTAATAAGTATTTGTCACATATAAAGGTCCTTAAAGACTGTGCCTGATAATGCAAGTACGAGTTCTGTGCTGAGTCCTGGGTTGGTAATTTCTTGTCCCACCCAACTGAAATGATGCCGATTGACTAGAGAGCTGGGTGAGACCTTAGTTCCTTTATTCACCTTCAGCAGACATTCTCTTCTTCAGTGGGTTTCATCCCCTGCGTAGGGCAGAGACATCACACCTCCTGTGGCTGCCAGCCAGTGGTGGGAGTGAGCACTGGCTCTGGACCTCTCCTCTCTCATGGAGCTGTAACACTAAGGACAGAAGCAAGCATTACAAGAGATGGTGTGTGCAGAGTGCTGAGCACAGGGCCCTGCACACAGCGAGTATCCTCAGGTCGGTGAAGCAGGAGAGGTCACATGGCTGCTCCCATGCCATGTGGGCACAAGCTAGGACTATGTGTTCTGAGGGGGAGAAATAATCTGAGGGCCCTTGACCAAGCAGTGTGGGGTCCGACACATGCATCACGTGTGCACACAGTGTGGAAGTGTGCAGAGCTACAGCAACCTGCATGTCGTGTCCACTTGGTTTCCCAGTCTGTTGGTCAGGCAGCCTGTGAGTCTCAAAGAGGGTTGGCATGATCTCCCCAGACGCACACACTGTCTCTTTCTTTCTGTGTTTCTGTCCCTCTACCTGTCTCCCTCTTCCCATGTGTATATATTTCTCTGTCCTAACCAGAGTGCCTGTGGGTGCTCATTTGGATTCAGATTATCTGTATGGGGTATAGGGGATTTTGCAGCTTGATGGCAGATTTGGGGAGTCCCGAGTGCTTCCCAGGGAGCCTGGATGTTGGGAGGGGTCCTGTGAGTGAGGAAGCAGTCATTAGTAGTCCATCAGAGGTCCCAAATGTTACATGCTTAGCTTGTCAGCAATGCTGCACCAGGTCTTGAGAAATGGCGAACCGTTCTACTGCCAAGTAGTTCAGTTCAAACAACACATCTCAGTAGTTGTTTTTCAAACAATATATGCAATGGCTTCCTGGAAGGATGTCTGTCCACCCTAAGCACAGACATCTTCTCAGTCCTGGAATGCTGCCACCCACACTTTCCCTTCCACACCAACTCACACAGAGTGTTGCTTTTTCTCACAGCACCTGCCAAGGATGGGACTTCACACAGATTGATGTGACTGGAAGGAAAGCAGTGTGATCCGCGTTGATCTGTGCACTGCACTGGGCCAATAGCTGTGTGATGCGGGAGAGGTCGGACAGTGTTGTCCATGCTTATGTTGCTGTGCCAGTGAGTTCCTCATGGAGCTTGGGAACCATGCAGACAGTTTGGGAACCATGAGCTCTAGTAGATGGTGAATGATTTGCCCTTAGCACCCCTAGACTTACATCTGCCTCTGTTTGCCTCAGTTCAACCTTGTTTGTGATCGGAAGCACCTGAAGCAGACCTTGCAGTCGGTGTTCATGGCTGGATTTCTTGCTGGGACCTTCATCTTCGGGCCCCTCAGTGACCGGTATGCATGTTGACCAGCTTGCCATTTATTTATAACACTCCTTGTGCAGGCCCACATTCTCCCATGCTCCTCACACTGACTTCCAGGATAACACTCAGTTCTCTCACCCTCAAATGGGACTGCCAGGGAGGGGCCATGTCTCCTGTTGGACATAGATCTCAGGCAGGCCTGCCTGGGTCTCCCTGGCTCTTGCCCCAAGAGTGCCCCTACCTGCACCCATCTGCCTCTTTGTTACCTCAGGATTGGTCGAAGAGTCTGTATCCTGGTGCAGCTGCTCCTGATTGCCATCGTGGGGCTGGCCACAGCCTTTGTGCCCAGCTTTGAGCTCTACATGGCTCTGTGTTTTTCTCTGGCTACTGCTGGTGCTGGATGTATGTTAAGCATTGTTGTCCTGAGTGAGTATCCGGATCCTGGAACCTTCAGTTCTCTGGAACCTGGCCTGCTTACAGTCTCTAAACTTCCCTCAGGGATTCAAATAGGCACCCCTCTACATATGAAGTCTTTATAGTCCTCTGTGTGGACTGAGATCATAGCCTACCATAAAGGCTAGGGGGCACCTGGGAGTGAGTGAGCAAGTGTGGCTTAGCCTCAGTCTCTCTGTTCCCACAGTTTCAGAGTGGGTCGGGCCCAAGTGGAGGACTCTTGCTATAGCTATGACCCAGATCAGCTTTGCCTATGGGCAGATGATGGTAGCTGGAATTGCCTATGGTGTCTGAAACCAGAGATTCTTGCAAATTGCTGGCTCAGCTCCTATTTTCCTGCTCTTCTTCTACTTCTGGTGAGAAGACATGTGCCGGGAGGAGATGGTGCTTAGTCAGCTGTGCTATGAGGATGGGGTGCCGCCCTCACTTTCACCATATGTTCTGGGTGGTCAGAGGCTGCTGCACAACAGGCAGCCTGTGAGGGCTGGTTGTGGGGCTCAGTGTTCCCTGGAATGGCTGGGAAGGCCCCACAGCACTCTGGACCCCAAGGTCCCAGTCATTCCTGGCCCGCAGGCTTCTGCCAGAATCTTCCTGGTGGCTCCTCATCCAGGGGAAGTTGGAGCAGGCCAAACAACTGCTCAGGAAGGCAGCCTTGGTCAACAGGCGGGAGCTCTCCACAGAGCTCCTGAGCCAGGTACCTGCAGCAGGCCCAGGCCCAGCCCTGCCCCAGACCTGCCCTTCTCAGATCTTCCCTGGCCCCTCACTCTGCGTCTCCTTCCAGCTGCTCCCAGAGGAGAAAGGCGCCTCGGGTAATGCCTTAGATCTTTTCAAACATCCCTGTCTGCGGAAGGTGACCCTGATTCTCATCTGTGTCTGGTAAGTTTCCAGGGCCCACGGCCTCTGCATGGACAAAGCCAGATGGCTCCTTCTTCCCTCGTGTGTGTCATGCCATGGTGTGCTGGTGGCCCTCAGGCCATGGTGTTGTCAGCCCAGAAGTGCCAGTGTCTCCTGGTGTGGTGCTGACCAAGGTAGCCTCTTTCTCTGGGGGTAATGGTGTTGAGCAGCCAGCAGTGACATGGACCCTTGGACCCTTTGTAGGTTTGTGGACAGCCTGGTGTACTATGGCCTTAGCTTCCAAGTGGGGGAATTTGGCCTGGACATCTACCTGACACAGCTGGTATTTGGAGCAGTTGAAGTGCTTGCCTGCCTTTTTGTCATCTTAATGTTGGAGAGGTTGGGCCAAAAGTGGAACCAGTGTGGGACGCTGATTGTGGGTGGTGTCATGTGTATCTCCACTGTCTTCATCCCTTCAGGTACTAGACAGGCTGTTTACCACGCATCCCCACCCACCTCAGCCCAGGGCCAGTCCAATGGCCACTGTTCCCATGTCAGGAGTAAGGGTTCCCCAAGGTTTGGGTCCTTAGGGGTGAGGGGCGGGGTACACAGGGAGATGGACCATCCACTCTGTGTGTGACTGACCAGCATCTTCCACCAGATCAGCCCATGGTGGTCACCGTGCTGACTGTGCTGGGAAAGTTTGCCACAGCTGCCAGCTTTACTGTCTCCTATGTGTACATGGCTGAGGTCTTCCCCACCGTCATCCGGTAAGAGCTGCTAGCAAGATTATTCCTCCTCTGACCCCGGTACTTGGATTTTGACCATGACTATGCTGCCCTTACCACCAGTCTACAAAGAGGTCATGAAGCTGGCTGTAGGGATGGGCAACTAGAAATCTAGTGCAACCCCCAAGTCTTCCTCATCTGGATTAAGTATGGATATAAAAGTTCACCATGCTCTAGCTGTGTCAGGTACAAATGTCAGATATGTGTAAAAGTGAATGGTAAGAAGAAGGGACACTCAGGTAGGAAGAGTGAGGACAAGAGGTACAGCCTTTGTCTGAGCTGTGACAGCTGAGCAGGAGCATAGCAAGCAGCGAGACCTGGAGGTGGGAGGAGCATGAAGGAGCAGAGAACAGGAGCTCTGGGTGGGCCAGTGGGGACTGGAGACCCTGCAGGCCTTTTGGGGTCTCAACAGGGATCTCTCGGTGAATCTGTGGCTTAGGGCAAGGCCAGGTCTGCTCACCTTGTGCTGGCCTTCCCCAGGCAAACGGGCATGGGGCTGGTGAGCATCTTCTCAAGGATCAGGGGCATCCTCACACCACTTGTCCTCCTGTTGGGCAACTACCACGTGGCCCTCGCTATGATCATCTTCGGCAGCACCCCCATTGTGGCAGGGGTGCTCTGTGTCCTGCTGCCAGAGACATGTGGCAAGAGCCTGAAAGACACCATCCAGGACCTAGATCAGCAGTCCCATCCAGGGTAAGCAGTTTGTTCTGATTCTCAGGTGGGTGACTCATTTTCTAAAGGCCTAGGTCTCTATCTCACTATTAGTGCATTGCTGCTTAGAGACTAATATGGATTCATTGGAACCACAGATATCTGTCAGGCTTTCAATCAGAACCTCCTTTCTTTTAGGAGAGTAGTGGTGAGGAACATGGTCATGAGATCCATTCTAGAGCAGTCAGTTACAGCTTTCTGTTCTCTCTAGGTCTTTGCATACAGAGACACCAACAAAAGAAAAGTAGCCTGATGGAGATGACTACCAAGCAGACCTCAGAAGGACTTAAATTAATCAATTGGCTTTTCATGTGCACTTGTGAATCTGTCCAAGGCCTAGGCTCCTTGTCTGGAAATGGTGGACTTATAGTAAGTGAACCTCTGTGAGTCACTAATCCCTACTAAAACCTGTAGTGGCAGATGAAGCTGGAAATCCTCAAAGGATAAGATAAGATCACAGTCAAGGATACCTGGCTCCAATCTCAACTACATAAAGACCATAGCCTCAGGCATCTCACTTCTGGGTGGATTAATTTAATGCCTTACTTGGAGAAGTCATTGAGTGACTCTACCCTTGTTGAATACTCCCCTCCCTTCTGATAACCAAATAAATATGGGCCACCCAGAGAAGGTCTTGGTCTTAGCCATAAGAGAATCTCAAATTCAGTGAGAGAGCTTTGATCCTCTTGGAGCCCTAAAATCTTTCCATTTGCCTCTTTTTATTTAGCCTTTGCCATACACTCATTTGAGAGATTGGACATGATCAGCCTGCAATAATTAAGGGATATTAATCTGATAACTGGTGCCCCAGAACAGGGACATATAGTCCTTGGACTGGAAATTTTTAGCCTGATTGAGTAAGTCTATGTACAATAGAAAGTATGGGAGGTGGCAAAAGCCTTTACAGGTCAAAATATTCACCAGGGATGCCTGGAGAAAGGAGGGAAGAGAAGTATTCCACGAGGAATAGGGGTAAGTCTTCCCACTGTGAATTAGCTATTTCTATCTCGAAGTAAAATGGGCCAAAAATTTTCAACCAAAGAGCAAAAATACATAAAGTTGCTCCAAGGTTTCTTTAAATGCTCAGGGGCTCATGTGCCAAGAAAAGACCTAACAAAAATGTCACAAGAGGTAACAAAATAGAATTCATTGTTTCCTCAGACAGGCATTGTAGATAATGATGATTGGGAAAGAGTTGGAAAAAAATCTTAGAAAGCTATGTAATACAGGAAAAATCATTTCCCCTGAGATATTCTCAATTTAGAACCTAGTTTGTTCAATTTTAAATTTGTTGCAGAACTTATAGTCAATAGCTTCTGACTCAGATATAGAGAAAACAGAAGAGCACCTGGCAGAGACACCTAGGCAGGAGCAGGGGTGTATCAGTCAGGGTTTACTAGATGAACAGATATAATACAAGATAAACAAATGTACAAGAAATTACAAGTTTAGCTTACAATGGTCAGCTACAGAGTTGGATGAGGAAGCATGCAGTGGGTGTCTGCACTCTGGAGATTGAAGAGCCCAGCCCCAGGCCTGGAGCTCACTGCAGTGTCCATGCAAGTCCATACAAAAAGGCTGATGGGTCTGCTACGGAATGCTGAAGAATCTATGATGAAGGCTGGAGAGCCTACACCAGAAGGCTGAAGAGTCCCAGATGGAAGCCCAACAGTCTGCACCAGAAACCAGGAGACGACCAAGCTGAAGGCAAAGACTGGAGCTTCTCCAAAGAACCAGCAGCCAGTCCTTCCTCAATTCCTTTTTTTTTAAATTCAGTCTACCTGATCTGGGGGGATGGGAGTGGTCCTCTACACCCACACCCTCTGCATGTGTTCCTCTAGCACAGGCTTAGGATGAACACAAAGTAAGCACCCTGGCTCCCTTCTGAGTCACATAGTTAACCTTCTAAACTTCTCAAATTAACACAATAAACAATATCCAAGAAGGGTAAAGGCGTGTCCTTTTCACCCCAAGATGCAGAAGTGCTGAGTCACTTAGCCAAAGCTCTAGACTCCCCAAGTTGACACAATGTATCAACCATAACACAGTGTATCAACCATAACAAGGGGCCTTTCAAAAGAACATCCCATATGGCTCTATCTAGTAACTTACAGATTTTAAAGGAATAAGCAATCACAAGAGGAGAAATCATTGGCACCCCTACTTGCTTCCCAGTTGGAACTCAGCAAAATGATTGTAATGAGGAGACTGTTTCTCATTTGACTTTTGAAATTCAGACGCTGAAGAATTTTAAACAAAGTGTTGTCGATACTGGGGTTCAGAGCCCATTTACAGCAGGAGTTCTACAAAATGTTTTGGATGCATCAGTTGACACCATATATCAAGCATCTAGCACAAACATGACTGCTCCTGCTCAATTTCTTCATTTTGATGTACAGTTTAAAAGTCTTATTTCAGAGCACACTTATAGAAACAGATCCTAATCCATGTCCACAAATAAATGAGGAGATGCTTTCTGGGACAAGTTGCTATGCATTCCTTGGGGATCAGCTCTGATGTCCTGATGAGCTATACTCACAATTGGCAGACTTACTAAAAAGGGCATGGGTAACTATTCCATAGGATGGGACTCCTGTGCAATCCTTCTTCTATATGCTTCAAGGCCCTAAGGAACTCTTTACTCAATTCATGGCTAGATTACAAGAAGCTGTTCACAGACAGGTTTCAAGCACACAAGCTGTGGACTTTCTAATTTTACAATTGGCATATATAAATGCTAATTGAGACCCCAAAGAGGCTTTAAATCCTGTAAAACCAACGAATGATCTGACAGCATATATTTGAGCTTGTCAGGATATTGGACCTGAATCATATAAGACAATCATGATGGCTCAGGTTATGGCTGGTTTTAATACTACAGGAGGGTGTAATATAAAATGTTTTAAGTGTGGAAAAATGGGACATATTAGAAAAAATATTAGTTTTTGCTGGATCTAATGGGACAGTAGCTGCGACTTCAGCAGGTCTAGGGAACAGAGGGTTTGGGTCCCACACCTGGACCTCTCTGAGATGCCAAAAAGGGAGACATTGGGCCAGATACTGTTATTCTAAAATCCATAAGGATGGTACATGTATGTCAAAAAACAAGAAAGGGCCTTTCCTCTGGCTGGCCAAACAATAGAGAAAATATAACTTGTGAGTCAGAACATCAGTCAGCTTTATCCAGCGCAAACACATCAGCAGTTTCAACAGCAACATCAAAGGTGGCTTCCCAGAATGATACAAATTCCCTCACCAGGGGAACAATACAAAGTATTGGATTGGATCTTTCTGCAGCTTGCAGTGTCATTCTTATCAGAGGTGACAAACCTATCTCAATTCCCACAGGAGTTTGGGGTCCACCACCTGAGGGAACAGTTGGTTTTGGACTGGGAAAGGGTGATCTAAATTTAAAAGGAATAACTATCATGCCTAGTGTGATTGATGGTGATTGTCAAGAGGAAATACAAGGTTTTGCATGTGCCGTGGATCTCTGGATTTTTGGACAAGAGAAAATGTGGCACAACTGATTTTGTTCCTATAGATAAACCTTCCTTTGTTAAATATAGACAGTTCATGAGGGAACAAGACCCTCAGAGCTTAACTACAAAAGGAGAAATTTATTTTACACAAGAAGTAACTAAAAATAAGCCTATGTATTTTATAAAGACCAATGGAAAATGCTGTGAAGGTCTAATAGATACTGGTGTAGACATGCCTGTACTTGCATTAGAATAATGGCCCACCACATGGCCAACACAAAGGGCCCTTTCTCCTTAATAAGACAGGGATCCCCTCAGCAGGTACTACAAAGCACCTCATCCCTGCTTTATGAAGAGCCAGATCAGCAAAAGGGATTCTTTTTACTATGTGGTACCTATTCTGGTCAGCTTGTGGGGAAGAGATTTGCTACAAAGGCGGAAATTAGTATTGACTAATGATTCTGATTGTAACTTTAAACAAACAAATTCTGATTCTAAAATTAAACAAGTAGATTCAAATCCTAAAATTAGACAAATGATGATTAACATGGGATATCAAGAGCATACAGGTTAAGAAAGAACTTACAGGGAATTAAACAGCCAGTAAGGACTACACCCAAGAATGACAGGTGTGGTATTGGATATCAAAAGGTATTTTTAATGAGAGCCATTATGCTTCTTCCTCCAAAACAGCTCTGCCTTTAAAATGGAAAACTCAGGAGCTTGTTTGAGTAGATCAGTGGCCCCTTAATAGTGAGAAACTCATCCAGCTACACAAAGTAGTTGAAGAACAATTTCAGCTAGGACATTTAGAACATTCAGTTAGTCTATGGGATACTCTTGTCTTTGTTATTTCGAAGGAATCAGGCAAATGGAGGTTATTGCCAGATTTAAGAGCTGTAAATCCTTCCTTACTTCCTATGGGGGTGCTGCAACCAGGATTGCCAAACCCAAGTGCAGTTCCCAGAGACTGGCCCCTCATCATATTGGATTTAAAAGATTACTTCTTAAACATTCCTCTTTTTCCTGCAGATAGACAGCATTTTGCCTTTTGTGTACCTAGCTTAAACTTTAAAGAGCCAATGCAGCACATTGCTTCAAGGAATGCAAAATAGTCCAATTTTGTGTCAGCTGTTTGTACTACAGTCGTTATAGACAGTTAGACGAACCTATCCTTCTGCATACATAATTCATTATATGGATGATATCTTATTGGTAGCTCCAATTAAAGAACAATTGTATGACTCCTTTTGCAGAAACAAAATGAGATTTAACATCCTTTGGTCTCTGCATTGCTCTGGACAAAGCACAATTATCCAGTCCTTTTTGTTACCTGGGAACACTAGTGAGTAACAGCAGTAAGGCCACAAAAGCTACAGATTAACTGAGATCATTTAAAAACTCTAAATGATTTTTAAAAGTTAGTAGGAGACATAAACTGGGTGAGGCCAAAATTAGGTATTGCTACTTATCAATTAAAACATTTATATAACACTTTACAGGGAGATCCAGGTATTGATTCCTCTTGTAGTTTATCTGCTGAGGCTCAAAAGGAAC